AATACAGTTATCTCTTATTTTTCCTCTTCAGTGTACAACAGTTTACATTACCCATCATCATCTCTGACCTTTGCCTCGAGCTGCTGGAGGCTGCTCACCATCCGTGCCTCCACACTCGCCTATTTTATTTTTCTAAGTCGCGCATTTTCACCTATATCAAGGAGCCAATTCATGATATAAGTGAATTATCAAATTATGTTTGATGAATATTGTTCACTTCTTTGATAACTGCCCTGTTCACACGGAACGAGAGATGAAGCGCTGGTCAGAGAAAAGGTCGAATGAAATTGACCTTTTGGACTGGCCATCTAAATCTCCAGGTCCATATTCAATAAGTTTCTTTCAGTTAAACAATACAACTTTTCCTTTACCCAATAGAATAATAATGTTGTATTTTTAATGAAACATTTAATACCACAAATAATATTGTATAAGGCCATTGCTTGTGTTAAGAGATTACTATGACTGTTTGTGAGTGCTACCCAGACCTCAACCCTATAGAGACCATTTGGACCCAGATAGTGAACGCGTGGGAACCTGAAGACAAGCTAAACACTGGTCCCGACTCCTCCTACACACCCAGGACGAGTGTGAGCAGTTTGTGAGGAACCAACCATCTATATAACCTTGTGTCTCAGTCCCAAGAAGGCTCCAGGGGGGTTATATAAAAGGGAGGCCATTGGATAGGCTATTGATATTCTGTATGACCTGTGTTGGTAAATATTAAAAGTAAATGTGATTTCCACCCTCGTAGTTTTCAATATTTATCCTCATATCTACGTTATTATAAATATCTAATTACTAGTTATTAAAACCTGAACAACAACTTAAAAAAATGAAAAATATGGAAATGGATGGTACATTATAATAATGTATTAGCCCGTCAGACAGACCGTAATACTTATATTAATGTGGGCTACAAACATGTTTATATAATTACATCACCCACGGTAACTAGCCTATGAGCCGCGGTTAAGATACTAAACGCCTGGGCAATATTTCTAAAATGTGGGTTTGTTTTTATAAGACACAATTGAAGTGATTGTGATTGTGGTGATAGTTTAGTGATTTTGGTGATGATGAAGATTGTGGTGATGGTGAAATGATTGCGGTGATGGTGGTGAAGCGATTGTGGCGAAGTGATTTTGGTGATGGTTAAGTGATTGTGGTGATGGTGAAGTGATTGTGGCAAAATAATTATGGTGAAGTGATTGTGGTGAAGTATTTAAGATTTAAGTGGGTGAAAGGAATTGATAGAGGAGATATAGATAAAGTTCTTATAATATCCGAGCAGGATAGGACTCGTAGCAACGGATTTAAATTGGATAAGTTTAGGTTTAGGAGGGAGATAGGAAGGAACTGGTTCACAAACAGGGTGATGGACGAATGGAGCAAGCTTAGCAACTTTGTAGTAAGTGCTGGAACACTGAAAAGTTTTAAAAGAAGGCGAGATCGATTCATGGATGATAGAGAGTGGTAGTAACTCGACAGGAGCTGCCATGCACAGGTCAACCGGCCTATGGCAGACTCCTTATTTTCTTATGTTCTTATGGTGGTGATGTTTGTGGTGATGGTGGTGAAGTGTTTGTGGTGATGGTGGTTTAGTGATTCTGGTGAAGGGGTGAACTGATTCTGGTGATATTGGTGAGTGTTTCTGGTGAAGTGATTCTGGTGAAGTGATTGTGGTGGAGGTGGTGAAGCAGTTGTGGTGAAATTATAGTGGTGAAATTATAGTGGTAGAGTGATTGTGGTTAAGTGATTGTGGTGGTGAAATGATTGTGGCGGTGGTGATGAGAAAGTTGTAACAGCACCTTTTGCATTAAATAAATAATCACCCAAATGAATAACACCAAATTATTCACAAAGTTATTAAACAATGACTTGGTAGTTGTTCACGTTATACGCGGCTCAAACTCTCTCAGAAGTCGAGCGAGGTCACCTGACTAATCAAAACACGGCTTGACGCCCGCTTCGCTCACACGCTCGGGGGAGAGGGGCCAGAGTCTTACCAGCAGTTAAGGGGTGAACATGTAACTTAAGTGTTCATTATATAAGTACTCAAAACACTTTCCTGGAGATAATTCACAATACATTCTCTCCCAAACTAAGTACTGTGTATATAATTACTTCAACAATAAAGAAAAAACCCAAAGAAGTGTTTACCTCAGCCCTGCCACTTAAGAGTTCCAGAACTTATTTAAAATAATTAATGTGATACACAACAGGTATTACAAAGTGATAAGAACATAAGGAGTCTGCAATAGGCCGGTTGGCCTGTGCATGGCAGCTCCTGTCGAGAGTTACTACTACTCTCTATCATCCATGAATCTATCTAGCCACCTTTTAAAACTTTCCAGCGTTCCAGCACTTACTACAAAGTTGCTAAGCTTGTTCCACTCGTCAACCACCCTATTTGTGAATCAGTTCCTTCCTATCTCCCTCCTAAACCTAAACTTATCCAACTTAATCCGTTGCTACAAGTCCTATCCTGCTCGGATACTATAAGAACTATATCTATATCTCCTTTATTGATTCCTTTCACCCACTTAAATACTTCTATCATATCTCCCCGCACTCTTCGGCTTTCTAGGGAATGCAAGTTTAGTTTATTTAACCTATCTTGATATGGAAGGTTTCTAAGTCCCGGAATCATTTTCGTTATTCTTCGCTGCACCGACTTCAGTGAATTGATATCCATTCTATAATAAGGGCACTAGAACTGAACCGCATAATGGAGGTGCGGCCTGACTAGCGCAAGATATAGTTGCAATAAGACCTCTGCACTCTTATTACTTACACGTCTAGATATAAAACCTAATACTCTGTTTGCCTTATTTCGAACATTAACGCACTGTTTTCTAGGCCGTAGGTCCGGGCTTACAAGTACCCCCCTAAGTCTCTTTCACAAGTCGACTTCTCTAGGTTGATGTTGTTAAGGCTGTATATATTGACAATATTTGTTCTTCCAATATTAAGTACGCTGCACTTGCTGGTGTTGAATTTCATTTGCCATTTTACTGACCACTCCTGCAGTTTATTTAAATCCTCCTGTAGTGCATTTGCATCCTTCCCTGAATTAATCTGCCGCCCTATTTTGGTGTCATCCGCAAACTTACTTATGTCACTGCTGATCCCAGTATCTAGATCGTTTATGTAGATTATGAACAAGAGTGGGCCCAGTACTGACCCCTGGGGAACCCCACTGGTTACACA